ATCTGTCTTATTCACTCTGTATACGCTGTGCCTGGAACAGTGCCTGGCCCAGAGCAGGTTTTTGACAAATATCTGCTGAACAAATGAATGAACATCTCCATGAACAAACTAGGGAAAAACTAAGGGGCCCGTGTTTCAGGTGTGGGATCTGCAGGGAAACTAGGAGAAAAGGCACTGAGGGGGCTGATGCTTGTGAGTGCCCCTGCATACGAGTCACACCCATCAGGGCACCAAGTCCAAGCAGCCTCTTCTCTCAGATTCACCGTGTCTCTCCACAGCCCTGCATACTCCCTGGCAAACTCCCATGCTGGGCTTGACACACAGAGTAAGAAGGTAGCTCTGTGCTCCTTCAGCTCAGATGTGACTTGAACACAGTTCAGGAGATTCTGTGGCTGCACACCCAGTCTAGTGCTTTGGAGCTGGGGATCTCAGCATAAATTCCAACACGGACTGAGTAAATGGAGGGCCTTCTCAGGAGAGCTGGGTTTCCTCTCCTCCTCTGTAGTTAAAGCAACCAAGAGGTCTCCTCTTTGCTGCCAGATAGGGCCAGTCACCTTTCCTGGACATCTTCCACTCCAACAGCTCCTCCACCCATAGCATTCACCCAGGCCAGGCCCGGGTATTAGGAGTCAAGAGAAACCCCTTCTCAGAACTGACTGGCTCCACAGTAGCAACAGGGGTTATGCTGGGCTCTAAAGCCCCTAAACCCTCTACCAAGCCAGCTAGGGAAGGGGCCCATGTCAATTACAGGTGTTCAACTAAACTGAGTCCCTCAAAGAGGCTATCTGGAGACCAGCCTGGTCTCCTAGGACAGAGGGGCTTAAAGTGTGACAGGTGAGGGGTGGGCTTTCTGTGGGGAAAACAAAAGCAAATGGAGAACTATGCAGAAGTGATGTGAGAGCCACAAAAACTGAGGGGTCTGCCCAGAGACTTGAAGCCACCTCTGCCTGACATACATCCCCCTCCACCCCACCCCACCCTCCCTGAGCTGTTTCATTTCCTTTCAGAAAACTTTGTTTTGGTTTGATATTTGCCTCTAGGCCTCTGGGAGAATTTTCTGAGCTTTGTTTCTCTTCTTGTTTCTAGGATACCTGAGCTGCTCCCAGATCAACAAGCTCAGTAGGAACAAGAGAGTGGGGGTGGGGGGTGGGGTTAGGATCACCAGATAGGAAGAGAGGGAGGGAGGGAAGCAGCCTGCTTGGCTCACACAGATTGGTGGCCCCCAGATACTCCAGAGGCACATCAGGGAGCTCTTGCACAAAGCAAAACAAAGACAGTCAGAAAGGGGCCATTTGCAAAGAGAGAATTTCAAGTTCTAGGAAATCAAAAGGTTAGGGGGTAGATCGGGGCACTGCCCAGGGCTGGCCCAAGACAAGCATACTGAGGAAATCTACCAGAAGTGACAGCAAGGAAGTTTCCATACAGCACCTGGAAGGATAATGGCTCGCAGGCACATGAGCCAGGCTGGGACCTGCCCTTCAACAGAAGCACACACCCTTAGAGGCGCCAGGCCTGGGGTCCGGGGCGTGTGGGGGAGAGAAGGGGAGCAGGGCTCCACCATACCAGGGCAGGGACACAGGACTCAGCATGCACTAAGCAGCAGCCCGGGCCTTTCCTAGCCAGCCCCAGCCCCACCTCCAACAAGAAGGAACCTGGCTTTCCCAGGCAGAGGCAGGCACGAGTGGAATTCCCCTGAGGCAGGCTGCGTGGAGTACCCAGCGACAGAAGTCATTCATCAGCTTGCTTCTGGAGTGGGAGAAGGCGGCCAGCTCAGCCTCTGCAGGGTAAAGCCAGTGTGGCTCCCTCAGCGTCCCCACCAGGTATCAAATGCCACAGGGCCACTCAGAAGAGACACTGACCCCAGAATCCAAGGGCAGAGTCTCCCCAGCACAGACTGAGATGCCCACAATCTGGGCTCTTCTCATTCAAATGGCAGGTAGACAGCTTATGGGGAAAGCAGTCTGTAATAACAACTAGAAAGTCTGGTGTTCCCCCATTTTAAAAGTAAGAGCTCTGCAGTCAGACTACTTGAATTGAAACCCAATACAGACATTAGTTGTGTGACCTCACTGTGCGCAAACTACTTACCCTCTTTGAATCTTAGTTTCTAAAACATGGGATGATAATAGTACCAACCTCACAGGGCTGCTGAGTATTAAATAATTCCTATAAAATGCTTAACAAAGTGCCCGGCACAGAATAAGTTCTTGGCAAGGTAGATTTTTTGATGAGATGATAAAACTAAGAAAATCATTTTTCTGGTACAAAACCTACATGAGCTGCTGTGGAACTCACACTGGGGAATTCGATATTCCCAAGCTGAGGGTGGGGGAAGAGAGACAGAGCAGTGGTCTTCCCATTTTCACATTCCTGTGCCCAGCAGCAAGGAACAGAGGCTGACAAAGAGAACCAGAGGCAGCAGGGGCCCCAAGCCTCCAAAAGAAACACGTCTGCAAAAGCCTAAAGAAACCTACTTCCACGGCACTAACATCTCTCAAAGTGACTAGAGTAGACAAATGTTCAGAGCAGCATTATTCATAACAGCCAAAGAAGTGGAAACAACCCAAATGTCCATCAACTAATGAATAAATAAAATGTGGGGTATCCATACAATGGAATGCTTTTCAACCATAAAAAGGAAGGAAGATGATACCCTGCTACGACATGTATGACCCTTGAAATCATTATGCTAAATATGAAAAAAGCTAGTCACAAAAGGCCAAATATTGTATGATTCCATTTATGTGAAATGTCCAAAAGAGGCAAATCTATAGAGACAGAATGTAGATTAGCAATTGCCTAAAGTTGCAGGTCTTGGGTAGAAACAGAGAGTACTGCTAATGGGTATGGTGTTTCTTTTTAGGGTAATGAAATGTTCTAAAATTGATTGTGATGGCTGCACAACTCTGTGGATATACTAAAAACCATTGAATTGTGCATTTTAAATAGGCAAATTGTGTGGTATATGAATTACATCTCAATAAAGCTGTTTTTAAAAATAACTAGAAGGTAGATATTAAAGATCATGCTGGGAGCTGTGTGTAATATAAAGTGTCGATGTATATGTGAGGGTGGGAGTGGATAACCAAGAGCCAGAGCCTCTCCCTGGTCTTGACACCAAAACATTAATCTAGATGTATCTCCCAGAAGATACCAGAAAGCCCCCGCCCATCCCAACTGGTTTAGCATGGCTATCAACTCTCATGTAATGAGACCTCTTCCAAGGCACTTACCCAGCTGGGTAGGCAACTAAACCCGATCGGGGGTCACAGGCAAGTCCTCTGCCTCCAGACACTGTTATTCCAAGCACCTTCTCCAAGGTCACCTGTTAGAGCAAGACAAAGAAGTGACACGTTATGGTCAGAGTGGGGTTGGGAAGGAGGTGCTGAAGGTACTCGGGACCATCCTGCAGTGCTGACTACTTTCCTGGATGCCCCTGTCTTCAGGTTCCGTTCTGACCACAGGCCCCTGGATCACACGGGGAAAAGCCAGTATGCACTGCTAGCTTTTAAGTGGGCTCAATCTGCTGGTACCATGGGAAAGAAAATGAAGTGGTTAAAGCTCTGCTCATGGCCACTGAGGAAAATGCCCTCCCCGCCATCCAGTAAGGTTCTGTTTATAAGATAAAGCCTTGAGTCCCTAGGCTGGGGCTCTTGGGTTGACGACACTCAGGGGAGGTCACTGATCTTCGTGCCTTGGCAGGCATGAAAGAAAGTCCACTCTGATCTACCCAAAGCCAGAAGAATGTTAGGTATCAATTAGGTGACTAATAATATCCCTGATCTTTGCATTCCATCACGTTCTTCCCCTCCATCAGAGGACTCCACCCCCCACCCCCCAAATGCCTGCCAGTTCATATAGACTACAAGCCTAGGAGGCAGAAACATGGCGTAATGCTGTGTTTTGCAAAGCACAGATGCTCAGAGTACTCTAATTATTATGATCAAGCCACAACTCCCACAGAGATGAAAAGGAAACATGTGTCAAGTGCTCAGAGATCCTGAGAGGACATGGCCACACAAGACATTCGCCATCACTCTCATCATCAATATTGTTACCCCTACACTGTCGGCAGCCCCTCGGGGTGCACATTAGTTCACTGGTCTTTCTGCCAGATGATACCATGTGAGATTCAGATTGCTCTGTAACTTCCTGCTTGTCGCTCAACCTCACCCTCTGCTACAGATGTCTTGCTTGTCACTCCAGCTCCAGTCTCCTGTAGGACTTTTGGACTCCCTGCACTGGCGCTCTTCAGGGACGCCCTGGGTCTTCGTTGGCTCAGAGAAGGGGGCTTCTGAATTCAAAAAGGCCATGTAAACAAGCTAAACTGTACTCTGCTAAGAGAGTCTCAGAGGTCCTAGGAGAGCGGTGTGGACCAGAAACACTTCATGGGTGTTCATACCTGTGGCAGGATAGTCTATTCCTAGTGTAGGCCAGTTTCTAGAGTGGGGAAGCCCAGAAGCAATTAGGGTAGTTTTAGGGTCACTCCTTCTCTCTTACTGTCACATACTGGAGAATTCAAAGTGCTCCTAGAGGGCCTGTTTAAATTCTTATCTCCAAGGACCATTTTAGTTTGAATTAGGTTGGAAAGAAATGCCCTCTGGCTGCCAAAGACCAAAATAAGTCTCCTGGGACAGTTAAAACCTATTTCCCAGAAAGGTCCCCAAGAGTCTTCTGAGCTTCTTGGGGATGTGGACCGGGAATTCTTGGTCTACTCGGGGAAAGGCAGTTTAGCTCCAGGGTACCATACCAACCCAGAGCCACTTGGCAAGCACCAAACTTGCCAGTTACCCTTGAGCCTATCTGAGGCTCTAAACCTAGTATGGGATAAACTAACTTTAGCCTACTCAATTCTTTTTTTACTAAATTTTTAGTTAATTGTTTATTTATCAAGAGAAACTATTCTTTAGCCCAAATACTAATGTTTCATAGTTCAGGAACAGAGGTCAGTGACAAACTTCCATGGAAGTCAATACAAAGAAATTCTTTACACTCCAAAATCACTTGGCACTCTGAAAGATACCAGCCTTTGTCATCTCCTCAAAATATTTCACGGAATCATAATTTCTGTAGAAATCTGCGTATGCCTTCTCCCTCGGGTCAGCCACTGAAAACTGCTGGAAATCTGCAGTCTCCAGGGATACAACGATCACTCCACCAATATGAAATTGCAGGCACTTGGCCAGAAGGCCACGCATCTGAGGTTTTGTCAAAGCACTGGGAGACATGGCAGTTACAATCTCCTTAATACCAACGTCCTTCCTGATGGAGAAATGGACCCTCACTACATTCCTGATAGGGCACCCTAACTCATGCCTCCTTCTACAATTTTTCTCAGCTTAATGACCCCCTGGCACCCAGTCACCAGGCACTGGTAGGAGAGCACAAAATATAATAGCCCTGGGGAAGTATAAGGGGCACTCAGTTCAAGGCACCACTCTATCCTGGCACGGTGCCTCTGGCTATCCCAGGGGGAAGGGTGCTTGGAAATATTCCTGCTGCACCAACTGCCTACTTCAGAGAAGAGCAGAGCATGAGGCCACATTACCCACACAGAAGTGAAAGGTCACAAAATCAAGTGCAGTGAGTTATAAGGCTACTTAACTCCTATTCTCTTCAAGCTAACCTGATTTCAGACAAATCCTTTGGATTCAAATTTGCATCAATCCCTCCCTTTTGCTTCAGCTTTGATCTCAAAGAATCAGACTAGTATGTTGGTATTCAGCTTGCCTTCCCTCTGACAGGAATTTGGGTAGGTGTTCTGTGGGTAGATGATCCAGTTCCATGGAGAATTAATTCTGAAACCAGCCTGGACTTATCAACAGCAGTCTCAAGCAGGAAGGAGAAGTGAGTTAACTCAGGCCCTAACGACCAGTGTTTGTACACCTGAAACTAAAAAAAAAAAAAAAAAAAAAGTGAAAATAACTTATCTAAGGTATTTTAACCATGACAAAAAAACAACAAAACAAACCAGACCAGTGTTTATCAAACGTTTTTGACCACGACCCACAGTAAGAGACACATCTTACATCATGACCCAGTCTATACCACACACATGCACATAAAACTGAAATGAAAGTATCACAAAACAATACTTACTCTTATTGCATGTAGTAATGTATATAATTGTAACGTAATACGCTATTTTTATTGTACTCTAGTTCATTAAATAATAATTCTGGTCGTGGCCCGCTTTATTGCTTTCATGACCTACAAAGTGGCTAGAAGCTACAGTTTGAGAAACCCTATTACAGAACATCTTTGTCCACCGGGCCTGGGTTTCAGGCTCTGATCTCTGGCACCTTTGTGTTCCCCAGTCACTTTCCTCCTAGGACTCTCAGCAGTGTGCAGACAGACATCCGGGCTAGGAAACCCCACAGGCAGGAGTTTGCCTAGGCTCAAAGTTTGGCTTATTTTCAAAGGATTTATGGTTTTTGGCTTTTTCTGGCTTTCTGAGCAGCTATCCAAGGAAAAAAACGGCAGTTTCCTTTGACTCTGTGGAGGGGGAAGAGGAGGGGAAAAACATTCAGGGGCATCAGCTGGTTTTTATTTTATGTTCTAACTCAAACCAGCTTCCTGTTTGCAGGGAGGTTTTGGGCTGAGCTCCACTTTCAAAGGATCGGAGAGTTCAGAGCTCCTGCAAGGCCTCCAACATCTAGGCTTATTTTGCAAGGCTCCAGCACGAGGGACTTTATAAACTGACTCTCTCCCTCTCATAACCTTCTCCGCATTCTCTCTTTCCAAAAACATGGTATGGTTTCCATCTACCCTAGAAAATGGAGACAAACCCGGACGGCCCCTGTAAACACACCACAGGCTAAATGCACCCAAGTTACAGCAGTGGTGTGCTGCAGCCGGTTTGCACTGGCTCATGAGAGCTGACTGTGCACAGCTTTCCCCACCTCCATTTCAATGACAGTACGTTGGTAGCTTGAAATCACCACGGTGGGAGTACTTACACCATGGAAATTGGCAAACACTACAAATCAGGGTCCTTTTTTTCCCGTCAGAGAGCCTGTAAACATTTACCAAGACACCACTTAGTTCAAGCCACTATTATCTCTCACTTGGAGGTGGCTATAACTCCCACATGTTCTCTCTGCGTTAGGTCTTGCCCCCTAGTCTTTCTCCAACATGACAGACAACAGTGATTCTTTTAAAATATACATGAAATCTGGGCCGGCCGAGTGGCACTACGATTAAGAGCTGGCTTGGGACGCCAGAGGGCCCTGGTTCGGATCCCACATATGAGGGCCAATGACACTGCCCTCTACAGCTAAGATGCTAAACAACAGCTCAACCAGGAGCTGGGCTGCCAGGAGTCCTCGGCGATGGCTTAGGCTGCAGCCCCTGCTGATGTGGGTTGCCATGGGCTACCGTGTGTAGCCAGCAGCCAGCACAAGCAGCCAGCAGCCGCAGTGAGCAGCCGTCCAGAAGCCGGCGACTGATCTGCCTCGCCCAGGAAGAGCGCAATGACGGTGCCAACTTGGGCCAGTGAAGCAACATCCTCCACAACTAGACTGAAGAACAAAAGGACAGCAACTTGTCTGTTCCCCTTCCCCCAATTCCCCAGCGCTGTTCCCATCCCCCAATTCCCCAATTAAAAAAATCTTTAAAAAAAAAAAGATTATGTTCTTTTATTTGATTTAGTTTTCTCACTTAAGTGCTTATAAAGCTGCACATTTTTATGATGCTCTGACATGCCACTCCCAGCGAAAGCTTTCAAGAACCACTGTGATACTCCTGATGGCTCAGCATAGCAGCAAGTGACGAGAGGGGGCTCCCTCAGCCTGCACCCCTGAGTAACTCTGATAATCAGAACCCCTGTGCTGACCCATACTGAATATAAGCATAGACAAGAAATAAACTACCTATTAAGTCAGGGAGATTTTGAGGTAATTTGTTACCATGGCATGACCTAGCCCAGCGATTTTCACACTTTTTGGCTTCCACTCTTTAGTTTCTCCTCTTGGTACACTCTAAGAAACTATCATGGACCCTGAAAAGCTGTTGTTCATACAAGTTATATCTATCAACATTTACTGTATGAGAAATTATTATGGAAATATTTAAATGTATTTGTTAATTCATTTAAAAATAACAATAAACCCATTACATGTTAACATAGCACTTTCACACTTTTATTATAAATAACTGTTTTAAAAAAAATTAGTGAAAAGAGTGACACTGTTTAATATTTTTGCAAATCTCTTTCATGTCTGGCTCAATAGGAAACAGTTGAATTTTATATCTGCATCTGCATTCAATCTGTTGTGATATGTTACTCTAGTAGAAGATAAAGAAAATCTGGCCTCATTTGGATATGCAATTGGAAAGGGAAGATCTCATAAGTCCCCTAAAAGGGTTTTGGGATGCCAAGGGTTCTCAGACCATACTCTGAGAACCAATGACCTAGCCCCTCCTGAATACTACAGCATCTTTCCACATAAGGAAGCAAGCCCACTAGTATGGGAGTTCTGGCCTCAAGCATCATTTGAGAAAACAGAGGCACGGAAGAGGCCCTATGGGAAAAGAGTCATCCTCAAAGTCTGGGATGAGGCCCAAAGTTCTGACAGGAACTTCTGCTCCAAACCCTCATGACCCAAATGCCAATGAAACATAGCCCAAAAGACACACTAGTCCAGATAACTGCTTATGGCCAGTGACTTAGGATACAATTGCTGTAGGCAGCTAGCACCTCAATACATCCACAGTTCTAGGAACACTGCTTCACATAGAAGTGAATTAAGAAGAAAGCACCCACTTTGTAATCTACAGTGATCTCTTCCATATCTGAAACACAGCCTAAAAGCAGGAAGAATAATCAAGTGGTGACCCAGCCTTTGTTTTGGCAGGTGGAGAGTGATGAGATAGAGGAAAGCCTATACCAAGCTGAAAGAAGGTGTCATCTTTCCCTGGAAGCAAGGCTGCAGGAGGGCAGAATTACTACAGGTATACTGCAAAGGAGGGCTTGAATGCCCACCGCTCCCAGCATGCACTAGTCAGGGCAGTATTGTATCCTCTTGAGAGAAAGAAGGAAAGCGAAATTATCCCTCACTATAATGAGATAAAGGGATAACTTCATAATGGCCTATTCCCAAGAGAGAAAAAGTAAGAATAAAGCCAACTGTTTAAGTGCTCTTCTGGCTCTCATTAAAGGAGATGGAAAAAACAGGTGGCTCAGAGGCAATAGACAGGACGACTCATTCACACTTAACAGAACAGTATTTTCCAAATGCAGATTGCAGCCTATTAATGAGACCTGAAATTGATTTAGTGGATAATGAATAAACAGAACAAAAACAGATCTTATGTCACATAGTAAGGATAAGTATTGATCATGAAACTTCAGGAGAGAGAGAGAGAGAGAGAGAGAGAGAGAGAGAGAGAGAGAGAGAGAGTGTGTGTGTGTGTGTGTGTATACTGGGTCACAAGTAAAATGTATTTCTTAATGTGGGCTGTTCTAAAAAAAAGTTTGATAGCCACTGAGAGGGTGTGGAAATCCTAAGGTAAAGAATGTAAACTCCACCCTCTACACTCAAAATCCATCAGGGAAGATGAACAACATACTACAAAGCAACCCAGTATGTGATGAGGGTCATGAGAAAGACACAGAGTGCTCAAAGAGGAGGAAGAGAGGTGATGCCTGAATAGGACCAGGAAAGGGAAAAAACAAAGCTTTCTTGGAGGGCGAGATGGTATTTGGCCTGGGCCTCGCAGTGAGGATAGGATTTTGACAGGTAGACACAGAGAGAGAAGGAATTCTCAGTAGAAGCTGCATGACCACAAGTTTGGCAGAAGGAAATAACAAAGCAGGTGAGCAACTGATGAAAGCAAAGATTGTGTTGGAGATTAAGTCAGGAGAGGTAGACTGGAAGCAGACCAGGAAGGCGCTGAATGCCAAACTAAGTGGGGGTCATCTGTATGCATAGGAAGCCATTAAAGGGTTTTGAGCCAGGGAACAAACAAACGTATGTTTTGGTGATGGTGTATGTAAGACATACAACACAGGCAGGGAGCCTAATTAGGAGGCTGTTACAATAGCTCAGGCGAGAAGTAATGAGGATCTAGACCAGCATGAAGGTAGTAGGAGTAGAAAAGAAATGATGGATTCAAAAGTGACGAAGCCAACAGAATTGGCAAGACTGGGTACTGTACAACTCTGGAGGAAAAAGAGAGAAGCCTCAAATTTTGAACCTCAAAGATAGGAATAAGGTGGTGCCATGAAAAGCAATGGTGCCATGATGAGAGAAAGGACCTAGGTCTAGACACCGGAGAAAAAATGAGA